GTATGTGACACAGACTGCTGGCTAGGGTCAGTCTGTATGTAACACAGTACATCATCCTTCTAGTTGTGTAGTGTGGGGTCATGACGAGGTCCTGATTGTCCAGGTTTCTCTCTATCATCATGTAAAATCCTAGAGAAGAGAGGGAGATAATCCTCACACTTAGTAAGCTAAGGCAGGAGGACTGCTCTGAGTTTGAGGCCAGCCTAGCTACCAAGAGACAAGGTTCCAAACAAATGAATGAACCAACAAACAACCCACCGTCACCCCTACTGAGGTAGCAGTGGGTTGGAGCTTCTACCCAAGCAAACAGCTCACAGCAAAGCAAACCTACTGTCTACTTAAGAGTTGTGAGTTCAGAGTCTGAGGAAAAGCTGACCTGACCTCTCCCCTGTCTAAGTCCCCAGGCTCTGGAAGGATGAGCACACCAATGTGGAACCCATGAAGGATTTATTTGCTACAGAATTGCTTTCATATCCCTGTGAGCTGGACTGAGACTGCTGGGTCTAAAAGGATTTAGGTCACTTCATAGTTTCAAGTGCTGTAACATTCAAAAAGCAATTTTGGGGGACAGAGATGGAGTGGAGTAGAACCATTTGGCATGTCGTAAGAGGTGAGAAAAATAGTCTGTAATATTAAATTCCTAAGAATAGAGAGGAAAGAACACTTTAAAATTCCATCTGGACGGACCCTGAGCTAAATCACATTCATGTGTGAAGAGAAATGTTTGGGATGTGACCGTGAAGCGACAGATGCTCATCTTGGACATAGCTGGTGAAAGCTTCCCTATGCTCACTGAATGACAGGATATATGCCTTTCAGTTGGCTGACTCTGCCATGTGTCCACTTGGGTTGTGAGGATATAGGTCTCCTAAATCCCAACCCTCCTGGTTCTCTGGAAGGACTGTCTTCATCTGATACCCAATACTTCTTTTTATTTTTGAAACAGGCTCTCTCTACATAGTCCTGGCTGTTCTGAAACTCTATGTAGATCAGGCTAGCCTCAAACTCACAGGGATCCTCCTGCCTCTGCTTCCCAAGTGATGCCCAATGCTTTAAAGAACATGAATGTGAAAAACACCTCTGCACATCTCACATGAGCCCTTGTGGCCTATTAATAGAAACAGAGGAACCAAGGAAGGATGTGAATTTTCAGACATGCAGCTCACAGTACAGCGTGACTCTCTGGGTGGCTGTGCCCTAAGGGTGCTCACGCAGGCAACGTCAACCCGAGGAGGGTGTGAACCCCAGCAGCTGTTCGATGGGTTTAAACCGCCACTCATCAGCCTCCAGCTCTTCCACCAAACCAGCCAGTTTTTCCATCCGAGCGACTTGCTGATCTATAGAGACAAGAGACAACACAGCAGGGCATTTCCCATCAGACTGCCACCACAGTTAGCACCGTGACAACCAGTCTAGGCTTAGTCTCAAGGTGGGCTTTCCACTTGTGATTTAGCAATAGGGCCTTACTTTATGTAGGTGTGCTGAAGACTAATTTTTGAAAACAAACAAAATCAAAATCTTTTTCCAACCACTCTCCGTTCCTCTGCATTCTGTCTCCTCTTTGCTTGCATTAGTGGAGACAGAACCCAGACTCAACCCAGGGTACTGAGCTGTGTCAGCTTCCATGTGCACTGCCCTGTGTGTGTGCACACATGTATGTGGATGTGCCCTGTGTGTGTGTACACACATGTATGTGGATGTGCCCTGTGTGTGTGTGCACATGTATGTGGATGTGCCCTGTGTGTGTGCACATGTATGTGGATGTGCCCTGTGTGTGTGTGCACATGTATGTGGATGTGCCCTGTGTGTGTGTGCGCACATGTATGTGGATGTGTCATGCACATAGTGGGCACAGGCTGGCACTGGCTGTCTTCCTGAATCCATTCATTCTCATTATTTATTATTTTGTGTATGTGTATGTAACTAGAGAAGCTAGTCTCTCCAGCCCTTATCTGAATGTTGTTTTTTTTCTCTCTTGCTGTATGAATCCGGCAAAGTCTGTCACCCCTTTATCTCCCTTCAGGCTCAGCTCTTTCCAGGACCAAATCTCAAGAGGGGGCTTCCATGTTCTTTTCTTTTTCTGAGTCTGGAAAGTTTTTTGCTTTTTGTATTTTTTTTCTAAATATTATCTATTTACTATTATTTATACAACTACACTATAGCTGTCTTCAGACACACCAGAAGGATGTATCAGATCCCATACAGATGATTGTGAGCCACCATGTGGTTGCTGGGAATTGAAATCAGGACCTCCTCTGGAAGAGCAATCAGGGACCTCCAGTCCCTGGAAAGTTTATTATATTAAAATAATTTTAAATACAGTTATTAAGAAATACAGTATGAATACAGTACTCTCTTGAGAAGTTCACACCCATACTTGGGTATGTATTCTCCTTTTCCTAAGGGTCTTTCTATTAATCCCTATGTTTAAATCTGTATTAAAAACTTCCCTCTGCTCAAAGGCAAGCAGGGTTTTATTGCTGTAGCAAAGAAGCTCCTGTAGCAAGAGAGGTACTCAAAAGTGAGCTCCCTAAAAGTCTCTTAAAGAAAAGAGAGGGGCTGGAGTGATGGCTCAGCAGCTAAGAGCACAGAGGGCTCTTGCAGAAGACCTGAGTTCAATTCCCAGCACCCACGTCAGGTGGCTCACACCCTGACAGCACCAGGCTCTTGAGGCCCTCGTCCTCACTCGCACACACCCACACTGGACTACATACCCACATGTATAAAAAAAGAGAAAAGAGAGTGTGAGCGTGAGAGACAGACAGACAGACAGAGGGATATACACATAGAGATGGAGGAGAGGGAGGAGGAGGGAAGGAAGGTATGAAGGAAGAGAGAGAGAAAATATAAAACAGGCAAGGTGTGGGAGCTCAAGCCTAGCGCTGGGAAATGGAGGCAGGAGTGCTCAGAGTTCCAGGCCAGTCTGGGTGACTCAGTGAGTTTCAGAGTGAGAAAATAATAAAAATAATAAAGGGAAACAATACAGTTATGATAGGCTGCGGATGACCCCAGTGGTGGAACTCATGCTAGCATGTGCCGTGCTCCTTGTTTGAGCCTAGCACTGTAAAAAGTAACAAGATAGTTACCATCATCACACTCTCATTAGCTAGACGCTAGAGAGTGGAGCTGGACTTCGGGCTCATGTCTATAACCCCAGCTCTCAGGTGGCTGAGGCGGAAGCTCCCATGGTTTGTCCCAGGAGGACCAGTGCTTATGGAGTGCACGTCACCTGGGGCTCAGGGCTTCGACAGGGCAGAAGGTGCTACAGACACCAGAAGAAGATGGTCCCCGAAGGGATGCAGTAGCCAGTCTCAGAAGGGAGAGGCAAAGAGAGCAGAGGAGCAAGCAGTGGTGGCTCCCCCACAGAACTGAAACCTGCAAGGGGATTTTCAAGCTCAACAAGATCTTAGAATGCTCTTCAATTCAGAAGGTCCACTTAACCAGTGTGGGGCTTTGTCATAGCAAACCTTGCACAGTCTGTAACTCCTCCCGCCCCCCCCCCCCCCCCGTTCCCCAACACACTCTGTACTTACCGTGCTTCACCTGTTTAAGTGTGGACGCCACTTGATAGCTAAACACCGACTCACAGAGGAATCGCTCAGAGCCATCTACAAGTGAAAGGGCACAGGCGTCAGTTTTAATGGCTTCTGGAAAGGCAAGAGAGGCTATCCACTCATTCCCCGCTTTTCCCTTTGAGGTCTGAGGTGTTTCTGGTGAGAACAAAGGGGTCCTTTAGAACACTGCTCTGTAAGAGCTACCTCTTCTATACCTAATATTAAAATAGTCTTACTTGTTTGAGAGTTCAAAAATAGTGTTACAAAAACAAAAACAAGAAGCCCTAGCCTGATGCCCTGGTTACCACTGCCCACCTCCTGACCTGTTCCCTTCTGTACAGCAGGCAAACAAGGTAGCTGGCATACTCAGCTATATGGTATTTGTATGACTTACTATGACAGAACTCCAATTACTTTCATTCTAAAAAACAGCCAAGGGAAAAACAGCTGTTGACTTTTAATTTATCCAATTATATCATCATGACCATCAGAAACCTTGCTGGGAAATGTCACTCTGTAAGCACGAATGGCAAACTTGCACTTCCAACCAAACCGAGCACTGCAGTCTGGATCCCGATAAGGGAAACGGTGCAAGCTCAGAGCCTAGTGCCCAGCTGGTGCCAACAAGAAGGTGGCTAACTCAGTCATGAGCGTCAGTGCAAAGGCTGAGCCTACAAAACACAGCCCCAGAGACATAAGTCATGTAGGAAAGGGCAGCAAACCCCCAGGGCAAGTGCTTTATTGCCAAAATTCCCAGACAAATGGAAGAGAGGACACAGCTGCCCCTCTCAAGGTAGGAGTTCAGACTAGCACTGCCAGATGTCAGCACCCACTCGTCAGTCATGGACTGGTGTGTCATGGGGATTAAGTGACGGGGGATTCTAACAGGCTCTGGCCTCATGCTAAGCTTCACACAAACCTTTCTTTACAAGTCTGGGTGATCAAAGGGAAAGGTCCAGATTCTGACTCTATCTGAATGGTGTGAACACACAGCCAGAAGGGCTTCCTGTCTTACTTCCTTCAAATCAATGCCAGAGGGGGGGGGGGCGGGGTATCATTCTTAGTTCTTGGCTTTTCATCCTCCTTTCTTGAGGTGCTGAAGGTGAGACCTAGAGCACCACCATGCCAGCGTGTAAAGATCTACACACGCTAATGACGTCATGAACTGTCTCTAGATAAGGGCAGAGAGCAGTGGGCATCTCCAGAGTCCACCCGGGGAGGAAGCTGCCGAGAACTCTGAGACCAAAGATGCGGTGTATTATGTGCCCTTGCATGGCAATGACATGCTGGCATCCTTCTTAAGGAGCTCACCTACAGCCCACTGGTTACTTGGCAAGTGTGGGGGGTAGGCTCCTGGAAGTGCTGCCTCCCACCCTCATTTAATCACTGGGATACCACACTCAAGTCATCACACTGGCCTATCCTTAGTAATGAGTTCCAAAGTAAAGAGAGAAGCATGCCTTTCAAACAGGCGTTGGTATTGTTCTCCCACTCGGAGCCCAGGACCACATTCCTGCTCTCGTAGGCTTCCCATGGGCTACTGCTACTTTTTTATTTCTGTTTTTATTTTTCCTTATTCACTTTATATCCTGGGTCCACTGCTTCTGAAGCCACTTCGTATCACGTGTCACATCTACCAATCTAAAGGCCAGGATTTCTCCAGAGATGAGGCGGCCTGTTTATAATCAACACACCAGTCAACAGCGTTATCAGCTTTCTTTTTAAAGGACAAGCAAAGATTACTACGTGTGGTGAAAAAGTTCAGTAAACGGCCCAAATCTAACTCTATCACCAATTCCATTCAATTCAACACTAAGAAATTTCATTTAAAAGGTATTACTTCCCAGTAGGAAATGAGACAGTCCCGGGTGATTTGTAGGATCAGTGGCCTTGGAGGTGCCTAAGATACAGCCACCTCTGGGCTGGAAGGTAGTCTCTAATTTGCTCACTAATAGCTGGGTGAGAGCGATGTTGGCAGAGAGCAGGAGACTGCTAAAGCTCACTGCATGCTGCTGTTAGCAGACAGCAGATGCAACAAGTTCATCCCAGAGGTTAAATACAGGTTGTTTGGATTTATATCCTAGATTTAGGGGCAGGCAACAGCAAGTTGAACCTGTTAGGATTACGACCCACACCCAACCTTGACTCTTTTTTAGTTATTTATTTTTCTTCTCTCTCTCTCTTTTTTTTTTTTTTTTTTTTTGGATTTTTTGAGACAGAGTTTCTCTGTGTAGCCCTGGCTGTCCTGGAACTCACTCTGTAGACCAAGCTGGCCTCGAACTCAGAAATCCACCTGCCTCTGCCTCCCAAGTGCTGGGATTAAAGGCGTGCACCACCACTGCCCAGCTGACTCTTTTTTTAAAAAAGGATTTATTTACTTATTTATTTTATATATGTGAGTGCTGATTTCATGCACACCAGAAGAGGAAACTGGATCCCATCACAGATGGTTGTGAGCCACCATGTGGTTGTTGGGAATTGAACTCAGGACCCCTGGAAGAGCAGCCAGTGTTCTTAATCACTGAGCCATCTCTCCAGCCCCCAACCACCACGGAATAAAGCGGACAGTAATATGTCTGTCGTCTCAGCATTTGGGAGGGAGGAGGAGGAAGATACGGAGCTCAAGGAGTTTGAGGTCAAGCCTAGACTACACAAGACTCGAAATGAAATGAAAGCAATGACAAAGAGGAAAAAGGCTTTGACACAGACAAAGCAATGTACAACAGGGTCACCTCAAGATCTGACATTCCTGTCAACTCATATTTAGGAGTGCTTCATGAAAGAATAGACACAAATCATATGTAAATACCATGTCACTTCACGGAAGAGACTTGCGCACCTGTTGACTTCAGTGTCCTTGGAGATGAGGCATAGGTGTGGAATTCGGAGGTGGTGTAGGAGGGGAAGTTGAAGCAGAACCAAGCCCCAGAAGATACTGTGGGGGTAATGGTAGTCTTTTCATTTTCTTAAATATGACATTTATTTACTTAAGTATGGGTCCTCATGGGAAGGTCATGGGACAACTTTTGGAGTCAGTCCTCTTCTCCCACCATCAAATTCAGGGGTCAAACTTAGGCGGTCATGCTTGGTGGCAGGCACCTTTTACCAGTTGAGCCATCTCGCCAGCCCCTTCTCTGTATTCTTGATATTCAAAAGTATGTCAGATATTTGATTTGTGAAATCAGCTGGTTTTCATTGTAAGCAGCTTTTACAATTACTGGGGAGACTCTGGGACAAGGGAGGCCATAACTGTACACCATGAATTTATATGTGATAAATCCACCATATGATAGAACTCAATTGATTCCTCAATGAGGTAATGAGAATGGCCAGATATAAACCTGTCAGAACATGAGCTTCTGACTAACTTGAATGACTTTTTTCTTGAAGCAGTGTTAAGCGCTGAGACTCCTCTGTTGTGTAAAGCTCGTTAAGCACTGTAAATGCCTTCAGCTTGCCATTTGCTTGTGGCAAGCTCCCTGAAGTACATCGCTGCTGCAGATGCTACAGTTGTAATCCACTCTTAGTGCCAAATACAGACACAAAGCCCGACTTCCAGTCAGACCTGGTGATACCAACTTGAGTATCAACACAACGGAGACCAACTAAAAGGCAGCGCAGAAAGCATGCATGCTCGATACACCGCCTTCCACACCGCACGTCGTCTGCGGCTTCACTACCGAGCAGACGCCAACGAGCTGAGTCTTATGGTACTGGAGTCTGGCAGGCATGCAGCCAGGCCCAAGAGTGCTGGCCTAGCACGCATGAGCCCACAGGGTTCAATCCCCAACACTGCTTTGGCAGAGGTTTACCTGAAACTGGGTTTCTTTCTTAAGTACTCTGATATAAATGTATAATGATCGCCCTAAAAAGCCAGTCCCTAAATAGTTTGTACCTTTCTCAGAGCTATCACCTAATTAAAATATATACATGTAAATATGCAAGATTTAAAGCAAAAAAGACCATTTTATAATTCAATACAAAAATGCTTGACTCCAGTGAATTTTGAGTCCTTAATGGGTTCTTTGTCAGTATTTTTAAAATATGAAAAGACTCCCTCATGAGAAGGCCTGGGACACTGGTCAGAAAACAGTTTCCTGTCTTAGGCTAATTCAGGATCTGTAGGGTGGGCCCAGACATGTGAGTTTAATTTTCTTTGTTTTTCTTTTCTTTTTTTAAAGAAAGAGGGCCTCAATTGTACATCCTTAGCTGGCCTGGATCTCACTATGAAGACAAGGCTGGCCTAGAACTCAGAGATACATCTGCCTGGCAAGACACGTACATTTTAAGTTAAGTGTCTCAGATGAGTCTTAGGCTTCTACAATGAATTACGAGTCTAGCTTAACACGAATCCCATAGGTTCCAGTCACTGATGCTGTTTCATGGCTGCTGCCCGGGACCTATTTCTGGCCAGCCAGTCCGTGTGATAAGATGGTGGCTGCAAATTTATCTCCAGTGCTATAAAAACCATGCAGTCACACAGCCATGTCCAGCAGTGGTCCGTGAGAGTCACCTTCACAGAGGTAAATACATTAACTTTGATTTCCCCTTCAGGCCTTTCTGTGGGGTTAGTCTATCTGCAGACACTCACTAAAAGAGAAACTCCATCAAGCAGGTGTCACAAGGCAACCCGGAGCAGGAGACCAACCAAGAGGGTCCATGGCACCAGCGGCAACCCTGACCAGGTTACTCCAGGGCTTTGGCTTGGAGAAGTCTAGAGGGCCCTTCAGCCCCCGCTCCTTTCCTCTCTACACACACTCAAGGTCTGAAGTCCATCACTCAGCCCACACAGCAGGAGATCACCTTCTAGCATCTCTCCAGCTCCTTTCGGGTAGGTGAACAGAGCTTTCCGAGGTGGGGCAAGGTCGGACACACTGAAACCAGATCCGGTGACAGAACTTCCACTGACCCCACCAGCTGAGGATGAGGATGAGGAGGCGGCCATTCCCTCCAGTAGAAGTCTCTCTTCACTAGAGGAAAGAAAACAGCAATTGGCAAGTTTATAAAGCCAGATGGACAACACTTCACTCAGGGCCAGCTTTCTGGATCCTCCATTCTTATATAGTCTTTTACAATGTCACTTAGGGTTTGAAGTAAAAACATGGTTAAGAATCGCTTAAAACTGGGTACGGTGCCGTATGCCTTTAATCTGAGCAGTGGGGGGCAGAAGCAGGCGGATATGTGTGAATTCAAGGCTAGCCTGGTCTACTTAGCAAGTTTCAGGGTAGCTAGGGGTACACAGAGAAACCCTGTCTTGAAAAACCAAAAAACAAAACCAAAATCAAAACCAAAACCAAAAGAAACCCTGCCTACTTAGAGAGTCCTGTTTTCTCCCACTAACAAATGATGCCCCTTGGGACTGAGTGTGGATAATCTGAGTTATGAAGGGTGGTATGGCAGTGCCAGGGATAAAGTAATACTGCTCCACAGGACAGTTTGTCTTGGGTACACTCCTCACCAGGCCACAGCATGAAGTTCACTTATCAGGCTTTCCAAGTAGGAGGCCAGAATAACACTGTGTTCTGTCCCCAAGGAGGGGAAATCAGTTAGGAAACTATTGGCACGTTCATTAAGAACCCGCGCGGTAACCTTTCCATCTAAATGTAATACCTAAATCTAACACTTGGTGGCGCCCCAAAACTGGAACAAAAAGAATTCAGGATCTGATCTCAGAAACAATGGTCCTTCATGAACTGAACACCTGCGGCCTTAATTTTGCGACCCATCTGAAAACCCAGATCCCACTATTGCACACATCTCACAAAACTTCAGAACAAGAACATAGCCTCAGAAGCCTATGAAGACGCAATAGTATATAATTTAAAAATGGTTAGTACCATGTTTACTTTAGAACTTGCTGTCACCTTGGAAATGTTCTGATATTCTAGTTCTGCCCAATTTGGTAGCCATGAGTCTCATGTGTACCTACTAATGTAACTGAAGAGCTATTTATGTCCATTTAAAAATACTAAATAAAATTTCAATAAAACCATGTGACTAGTGATTTCTCACTGGGTAAGGATTCTAGTATTTAACTGAACAAATGACTTTACACAAGAGTAGTAGTATGCACTAGGACATTCTTGTTACACAGGAGGCTGAGGCAGGGGATTTTGTAGCTTGGAAAACATAGCCAAGAGCCTGTTTCAATAACAATAGACAATGGCTAATTTTTATATCACATAGATTTCAGCATTTAAAAAACCCTATTTATAGAGAAGGCCTTAGTTTGCTATATAAATATTAAAGTTCCTTAACTTGCTAGAACTTACTATATATCCTGGCCTGGCCTGAATGACACTCATGGTAACCTCACTATGTCTCCCTCCCAAGTGCTGGGACTACAGCCATGTGCCACCATGTCTGGCTTTAAAACAATCTTTAAAATGAATTTTCCAGGACTGGGGACGCTGTTCAGTCAGTAGTGTTTGCCTAGTATGCAGGGAGCCCTGGCTTAGCTCCTAGTACCATCTAAAGAAGGCATGGTGGCACACAAGTAAGACTCTTGCATCTGGGAGGCAGAGGTGGAAGAGCCAGAAGCTTGAGGTCATCTTCTAGCAAGTTCAAGGCCAGTTTGGGATATATAAGATCCCCCCCCCAAAAAAAAAACCAACCCATAAAAACACATCCCCCCTCTAGTATGGCCAAGGAGAATTTTGCTGAATAGTTTTTACTCATTCCTCCACCTTAGTTCTGACATACTTGCTAGAGAAAGTTGAAGGCTGGGTGGTGCACAAGCTTCAAAATTTTATAATTTAGTTTCAATTCCCAATGCTGAAAAAGTTGAAACACTTTAAAAACAACAACAACAAAAAAAAACCAGAAAAATACTAGAGAATGCTATGTTCCTGAAAATCCTTTATGTCCAGTCCAGACCATCTAGTTTCCTGCTAAGGAAAACGGTACATGAAGTCGGAGATGTTGGCTGCTGGTTCCTACCTATGTGGCAGTGACATGTGGTTGTCAGAGAAGCAGAGCCTGGCCTCTCACTCCATCATATGGTTGGTCACAGGCTGTACTAATGAACACTGACATGGGCTAGGAAGATAGAAAAGCTATGGCAGCCCGTTACAAAGAAACACAATCTCCTTCACTAGCTCTTTTCCTTTTTACCTTTTTTTTTTTGAACCAGGGTCTCACTACGTAGCTCTGGATGTCCTGGAACTTGCTATGTGGTTCAGGGTGGTGTCAAACTCACAGAGACCCACGGGCCTCTCACTGATGGTATAAAAGGCATGGCAGCCAGCATGCCCAGCTCACTGATAACATTCTTAATTTTGCCCCCTTAGGTTACCTTCAGAATTGTACTTGTATAAAGCAAGTCTTTGTGTGGAATTTATAACTGCTCTTTTGTGGCATGACAGCTCAAAATATAGCCTGGTAAACTTTTAATTGTTCCTTAAGAGACTTAAGTATTGATGACGGGGTCCAAGTCTCTAACTCATCCCTAGTGGGATTCAAGGGAAGCATACAGAGCACTCAGCCCCTTCCTGGAGAACAGCTCTGGTTTTACTTCCTCCCAGTTCTGAGCAGGACCCACTGAGAACTGTTTATTTTTTTCAACTAAGATTTTAAACGCTGATCTTTTCAACTTCCACCCTGATGATGTTCTATTTAGTTGATACTGCTTTGAGTTTTGTATTTTGAGATCAGCTGTTCCATAGAGCATCCAGGTGACTGCAGTTAGCTTCAAAGGCAAGCCACAGTGACTATTCTAAGCTGAAATTCATCAAAGGAATTCCCTTTCATCTTACTTTCTTCTCAATTCTCAGATCTACAGCTCCATATACAAAACAGTTGGGGTGGAAAACCAGTGCGAGATCAGAATCCGCGCAAGGTTAACTTTAGATACACTGTTTTTTGCTGAGACGGAGAGACACCTGTATGATGTCTGGTTCTAATGATTTGCTTAAGGTTTATTTGGGTTTCTTTTCTTTCTGGTGCTGGAGATGTAAAGCCAGGGCCCTGTTAAGCACATGTTCCACTCTGAGCTACATCTCAGTTTCTAGTTTTGGATGCCATCATTAAAGAGTAAACACAGCAACAAGCCCTAGACTGTAAATGCTGAACTTGGGGAACTGATTCCTGTAACTCTAAGTAGCCACTCATTTAGGTATGTTCATAGAACGCCTGCACAGTCCATGGGAACCCTGACTTCCTAAAGGCCATGTAAGTTTTGAAGAATGGCTTGGTGATGTGCTACTGTGCACGAGAACAAGGTGGCACAGTAGTTAAGGACTGACTATGGGGGCTGAAGAGTTGGCTCAGAGGTTAAGGGTGCTTGTGGCTCTTGAAGAAGGCTGGAGGTAGGGTCCCAGCACTCAGTGTTTGGTGGCTCATATCCACCAACAACTCCAGCTCGGAGGGATCTGCTGTCCATTTCTGACCTCCTTGGTCAACACACACACACAATTAAGTAAATCTTTAAACAAGAACTGACTGTAAAGAACTGCCTGCCTAGGTGTGTACCCCGGCTTTGCTATCTGCTGGGAGACTGGGCAAGTCGACTGCCTTTCCTGTTCTTAGGTGCCTCAACTGTAGGACGGAATCAATAACAGTGGAGTGCCTACCTTACCGAAGAGTTATGAGGGTTAAATACATACAGCCTAGACAAACAAATCAGCCCAGCCTGGCCTTCAATTCCGGATTCTGCTGGCTTGGCCTACTGAGTGTTGGAATTACAGGTATGCACTAGCATACCCAGTCTTCCCTATGCAGAATCCAACTTTTCACACTTACACGTCAAACTCCCGGAAGGGAAGGGTCTGCTCAGGAGGCAGGCAACGTGGTGATCTGCTATACACTTCACACATTCTAGTGCTGGGCTCCACCCTGAGTCAGCACACCCACCTTATGATCTTATAAGACTCTTGTAATGGGGCTGGGGTGATGGCTCCATGGATGAAGAAGTGCTTGCACTTGGAGTTGGGGATCCCTTGAAGTCACTTACAAGTCTCACAGGTGTGGAAGCTGCCTGTAATCCCAGCACTTGGGAGGCAAAAGATAAGCGATTCCCCATAGCAAGACTGTTAGCAAGGGAATAGTCTGGGTTCAGGGAAGCTATGAAAAGCTATGGAAAGGAAGGCAGCCGACACCAGCTTCAAGCCTCCACCTGCATGTTCCACCTGTAACCTTGGGCCTGGGGATACACAGTTCAGTGGTTAGAGCATTTGCTTAGCAAGTGTGAGGCGTAGAAAAGGATCCCGTGATGTTGGAAAGGAGCAAACAAACTACCCTTTGTACCCTTGAGGCATCGTATAAAACCCTTGTCACAGTGTCTCCTGGATGAATAATTTATAAATACTAGGACAAGAGCCGGCAGCTCAGTCGAGACTGAAGGGGACAGAGATAGTTCCAGTCATGACTCCTTCTGTGTAGAGTATCCAACTTTGCCGCCCAGGAGCCGACCAGCCCCATAAGGAGGCACTCAGTGAAATTTTGTCGAATGCTGATGATTGAGTACCTGGAACTTGGCCCTTTCAAGAAAGCTGTGGCTGCTGACAAGCATAGGAAACGCTCATAGGAAGAGTAATGATATTTTGTGGGACACAATATGGCTGGCGTGGTTAAAATACTTACTTTGTGTACGACAGGGACGACCTCGCACTCATAAATTAACTTTCCGCTTATAGTCTTAAAACAAGCGAAACAAAGAGATCCTTCTTAAAAATAAAGCTCAGAACAAACCAGAATGCTTAAGTCGATTCGGATCCAGGGAGGTGGCTAATTATGACAACCGTTGGGTTCTACTAGCAAATCATTAAGCGTTCCACCTAAACAGACAGATCACCACCCGCATCAACGAGACGTGGTGGCTCTCTCCGGGTGGAATGAAGAACCTCGCTGGAGAGGGGAGGAGTCAGCACACTAATCCTGGCTACTCTAACTCCACCCAAGGTACGCTTCCTACCCAACAATTCCGGGAGGAAGGGGAGGCTCGCGGCCCCTCCACGGCGCAGGCGCCAACCCGCCCCACGCATGCTCAGTCGGAGGAAATTGCCTTTGCCTACGCCCGGCGCGGGAGAGCCTCCAGGGTCTCTTTCCACCCTCTCAGTTAGTCCTGGCAGGTAGGATCGTAGGGGGTCAGCTCCCCACCGAAGGTTCTGGAAGTCTTCGCCACTTACCTCAGCAGCTTGTGTACTTTGCCTGACAGCCCCGCCCCCTGGACAAAGCAGTGCGGCCTCGTTCGCCAAGACGTAGACAGCTGCGTGCGCGTGCCCGCCTGAGCTGTGGGAGTTTTATGGCGGTGTGCGCCTGTTCCAGGGGCGGTGAGGGCTGTGGGGCGGCGCTAGCGCGCATGCGTGGAGTGGGCGTGGCCGGGCCGGGCCAGAGCGAGCTTTCCGAGAACACTTCCGGGTCGCAGTGGCTGCCCCGCCCCCGTCCCGCCCCTCTCCCCCGCAGTTCTGGTTCTCTTGCTGCCTTGCTGTTTTCTGGCCCCTCTCTCTAGCGTAGGGTGTTTTGTGTTTGCTTTTATGACTTAGGACTTCAGCTTCCCCCATGAGAATTGCACGAAGACGTATATACCCTGCCCTCTTCAAACGTCCATGACACAGGGCTAGTCCGCTTTCGTCCTTCTGCGCAGTCTCTCCGCCTGGAGCTGCGCAAGGAAAGGTCGATGAGTATTTACCACCGCAGCTTCGTGCTCAGGGCCAGAACTTTGTAAAGGCCACTTTTCTACAGAACTTGTGTTTTTGAAGTGGGGAAGGGATGCTAAAGGAGTAGCCATCAGGTTGGCATGGCATAAGACTGTTGATAATTGCATCCCCTTGTCAACGTTGACTTTCTGTGTTCTCAAAACACAAACCCTCTTCTTGGTTCCTGCAGGTGGCTACCGAGTAGCGACTTGACTGAGGGTTGGACCAAGCATTTATTTAGAAGGGGTTGTTATGGCTTTCCTTGGAACTTTTTAAGTACATGAGCTTGTAGACGCAGCCATCTGGGATGAGAACATGGGTTAGTCTATAAGGAGCCTTTACTTCCTAATTATTGATTCGAGCAGTGACTGTAAGTGTGAAGCAGTTTGTTATGCTCTGGAGCCAGTGGCCTCTTTGGAAACTGTTCTTTCTCAGTACTATGTTGGTCTGAGAACTATGTTAGGAAGTCATATTTTAGTTGTACTTTGATAGGGAAATCAATCTGGTTGGTGGGTATTTATTTCTAGCACCTTTAAAATGACGTAACTCTCTTCCGTGGGTATTGAAGGGATGGTTCCTCAATGGATTATCATACTGGATAGGATGAATGAAACACTCGGCTCATATTTAGGCTATCAAGACCACACCCCCTGTAGGTTAATCAGACACCGAACTTACAGTGGCGGGCCAATGGAAAGCGACACTGTTTCTGCTTAGGATGTGGTGTGAACTGCTGCCCAGTTGTGTCCTTTGAGGCCTACATAATTGAGTTTTTAATTTAAAATTTTTATTATATTTATTTATTTAGTCTGTGTGTATGCTACCTGCCTACATAGCAGAATTTTTTTAATTTAAATTTTTTATTACATTTACTTATTTATTTATTTAGTCTATGCTACTTGCCTACATAGTGGAGTTTCTTTTCATTTAAATTTTTATTACATTTGTTTATTTCCAAATTTTGTCTCTGCGTATGCTACCTGCCTGCATGTGTAGTTCAGAGGACAAACTGCAGGAGTCAGTGTTCTCCTTCTACCCAGCGGGTCATCGTCCTTGGGAGCAAGTGCTTTCACCTGTCAAGCCACCTTAGTGACCTAAGTTTTCATTTTCTAATAAAAAGTAAATTAACAATAGGACACTTTTTTCCAGGACTTTACTGGAGCATCACTTGGACAAAGTGTCATGGACGTTCTACGCCCACAGCTTGTAACATTCGATGGACGGAATTATAGAAAGAATCCCATCCAGGAGAAACAATACCAACATGAGGAGGATGAGGATTTCTATCAAGGTAGTCCTAGCTGCTCTTAGGTCCGACAGGAAGAACAATGTTCTTTGTACTGCAGGGGCAGTTCTTTGCTTCGCTGCCGGTCAGTGGCTCTGAGGAAGCTGATCTCCAGTGAGTTGTTCCTGGCTGCATTTCGTGTGTCAAGATAGATTTCATTCTGTACAGAGGCTTCAGGGCCATGTGGAGTAATTTTTTCATTGTTATTTTTAAAGATGTGTGTATGTTTTGTGTGTGTCTGTCTGTGTGTGTGTGTGCATGTACATGTGATCATGGGTGCCCAAAGAAGCCTAAAGGGGTATTGATTGGCTCTCCTGGAGCTGGACTCACAGGTGGTTGTGAGGCACTCAGTGTGAGTGCTGGGGTCTGAACTCAGGTCACCTGCAAGACCAAGAAGGGCTAATTGCTGAGCCCTCATGTGGAGTACTTGTTAATTATTACCGTTAACTCTTAATAGTCTGTGGCAAAATTAAGCCCCTTTACCTGTGAAATTGTAAAAGAATATGAATTATTATTATTATTACTAATTTTTTTTGAGACAGAGTCTCTCTATTATGTATCCCTGGCTGTCCTGGAACTCACTCAGTAGACCAGGCTGGCCTTGAACTTACAGAGATCCGCCTGCCTCTGCCTCCCCAGTACTGGACTTAAAGGAGTTCGTCACAATGCCTGGCTAAGAAAAGGAATTATTAAAATAAACCCATGAAGGATTTAGTTCAGTGTCAGATAACTTTAACTGTTGTTATTATGTTAGTATTTTTTTTTCTTTCTTCTTTGTAGTCATGCCTTGATAGTTCTAAAGACACAACTAACTATTTTAGCATATGGTAATTTTGTTTAAAAAAAAAAACAACACAACAGAATAGTTGAGGTGGATTATAACTATTTTCAGGACACTGACTGTGAGGTTAGGTTTAGTGCATCAACAGGGCCTTTCAGGTTCTTTGCAACTTTTCCTTTTTGGTTCCTAAGGGTTTCCACTGAACCTTAAACCTTGGGGCTCACCCCACCCCACCCCTACAAACCACGTGATCCTTTTTACTGTCCACTGTCAGCCTTGAGCTTTGAGAGTTTTGAATTTTCCATTCTTTGTCTCTCCCTTCCTCCCTCCTTCTCTCTCTCTCTGTCTGTCTCTCCTCCCTCTCTCTCCCTTCCTCTTGTCCTGTCTCTCTCTTTCTTTCTCCCCTCTCCCTCTCTCTGTCTCCCCCATCTGTCTGTCTATCTATCTTCTATCTCTCCCTCTCTTCCCTTCCTTCTTTCTCTCCCTCTCTCCCTCCTTCCCTCCCTCCCTCCCTTCCTCCCTCCCTCCCCGTCTCCCTCCCAAATGCAGGAACTCTTCCAGGCATTTGTCACTATGTCTGGCCTCTTTTTTCTCTACGTTGAGCTTTTATGGAAAAAGTTGTAGTACCATTCTTATTAGTAATTCACTGAAGTGATTTTGTGCCCTAATACCAAATCATACTGACTTCTAGACTTTAAAGGGCGAGTTCATGTGGCGTGAACGTCATCTCAGCAGAATAATAGTAAAACGTGTTGTCTGGGCATCCTCACTTTCTGGAGAAAACAGATAAATACTGGTGTGTGTATACTACTTTCCCAAGCTTCTGAGACCGAAGGATTTAGCATGACAGTCATGTTCTTTTTTATTTCTTCAATGAGCACATGAGAGGCACTAAAGCAGTCACTAGGCTGTTCTTTACTACATGCCTTCTTAAACCCTGAGATTGGTTGTCAGCTAAGGAGGGGGCGGGTCTCCATTGAGCAGCGGCACTCAGAGATGTCATGTTTTCTTTGCAGACTCCATGGAATACTCCGATGAGCCCTGCGGTGCCTATGAGGTGGCACAGACCCCTCATGGATTCCGGGCCACTGTCAGTGCCCCTAGCCTGCTCTACAAGTGAGTGAGCAAACTCAGTTTCATGGGATAGAGCTTTCTGGAAACTCAGCAGGAGGCCAGCTCTTCAGTCTTTCCCACTTACAGGGAGATGCTTGATCACTAATGACCGGAGTTTAGTGTTCTGTGTCCTGAAATGTCAGAGGGCTGATTGCAGATTGATGGAATCATTGTGTGTGTGTCGCCACATCCTGCAGACTTTCACTTCTCAATGTCCTTTGAATCTACCGTTTATCTTCACCACCACCCCCTTCTCTTCCATGGAGTCCTTCTTACATGTGTTTATGTAATTTGTATGTGTGAGTGCTTCCATGTCTGCATGTATGCTGCCGATGTGTCTGGTGCCCCAGGAGGATAGAGGACTTGGTTGAGTCCTCTGGAACTGCAGTTAACAGGTAGCTGTGAGGCACCCAGTGTGGCCGGTGGGAACTGACCCTGGGTCCTGTGCCAGGGCAGCAAATGCTCTTCCTCGCTGAGCCAGCTCCTTGGCCCCTCTGTAGATTTCCTAAAGTAGCCCTCTGTAGTCTCTGAGTCTCTGCTCTCTTCTTAGTCCTCACATGGAAAGTAGAATGATTTAAAAACTTTTTTTTTTATTTTGAGATTTGTTTTTATGTAGAGTGGTATTTTGTCTGCATGCGTGTCTGTGCACTGTGTGTGTGCAGGCTGGAAAAGGTCACTGTATTCCCTGGAACTGGAGTTACAGACAGTTATTAGGCACCATGTGATGCTAGAAATCTAACCCAGGTCCTCTGGAAGAGCTGTCAGTGCTTTGACCACTGAGCCGTCTCTGCAGCCCCCCAGCTCCCACTCATTCATTCACTCACTCATTCACTCATTCATTCATTCATGACATGTGGCCTTGCTTTATCATTAAGAGTGACATGGAGCTCTTGAGCTCTTGATCCTCTTGCTTCGGCCGTCCGTTTACCCAGATTCCATCACCTCTCCAGACTTGGAATGACCCTTTGAAAAGGAAAATCTGATCATTTGACAACTTGTGCTTAAACGATCTCTAGGGGCTGGCTGGCGAGATGGCTCCACAGGTGGAGGCTCTTATCAAGAAAGCCTGGCAACCTGGGCTCCCTCCTGGAACCTTCGTAGAGGTGAAAAGTGGGAGCCAATACCACAGAGTTTTTCTCTGACCTCCATGGAACCTGCTGTGGAAGGTGCACCCACATATGCATACACACACGAGTACACTTACGTAGACACACATGTACACTAATAATACATTTTAAAAACTCTGTCGGTGCTTTTTCCCTGGAGAGGGAATTGCAGTTTCACTAAAGCAATGGCCAAAATTGTGAGGATGCCTTGGCTGATTCTGCTTTTCCCCTCCCCTCCCCTCCCCTCCCCTCCCCTCCCCTCCCTCTCTTTCTTTTTTTTAAAAAATCTCTTTAGATTACTCTCTTGGCCTTGAATTTAGTGTCAGAACGCTGTCTGATTTT